TTCCTCATTTTTTCTTCCTGAATCAAATTTTGAAGCCAAACAGAATAATTATAACAACCTAATTCTAAAACCAAACAATAAAATTAAAACCACCTGAGATATTGTGAAAGTTGAATCGGGAAAGAAAACTGTTAATGAAGATGTACAAAGTTTGAATATTGAAGGAAAGTCTACTAATAATCCACAAGCTACTGCAAGTGCATTTAATGAATATTTCCTCTCAGTAGTTGAGAAAACATATCTTAATAACAATAATAATAATAATAATAATAATAATAATAATCCAATATACTGTCACAATCCTTTAATAGTTCATTTCGAAAAATAAATCTCAAATTCTCAACAACAAAGGAAATTGAAAACATTATTAAATCCCTTAAGCCCAGAAATTCACATGGATATGATGAAATCTCTACAAATTTACTTAAAGCCAGTTCTGTTTACATCAGTTCACCGTTGAATCATTTGTGTAATAAATCTTTATCATCAGGGATTTTTCCGCAACGCTTAAAATACACTGTAGTGAAACCACTTTTTAAAAAAGGTGAGAGAAAATGTATTTCCAACTACAGACCAATATCTATACTGACTTCATTCTCAAAAGTCTTTGAAAAAGTTATATATAACAGATTACTTGAACACTTAAATTCTAACAAAATATTAGTTAAAGAACAGTTTCGATTTAGGAAAGATCAAACCACAGAAAAACAACCTATGAACTAACTAACAATATTTTAAATGCTCTCAATAACAGATTAATAGTGAGAGGGATTTTCTCTGATTTAGCAAAAGCTTTTGATTGTATAAATCGTGATATCTTACTATTGAAATTAAATTTCTATGGAATAACTGGCAAAGCTAATGAATGGATCAAATCATACCTCAAAAATAGGTACCAAAGAGTGGAGATAGAAAGTAAAAATTCCAGTTCTAATGCATTTTCAAACTGGGGAATCATAAAACATGGTGTTCCATAGGGATCAATTTTGGGCCCCTTGCTTTTTCTTCTCTACATAAATGATTTATCAAAAACCATCAACAATAAATCTAAACCAATTCTATTTGCAGATGACACTAGTATAATATTTAAGAACTCTAAATTTGAAGACTTTAAAAATGATATAAATTTTGCATTTGAAGCTTTAAATAGATGGTTTGAAGCCAATAAACTCTCACTAAATTTTGATAAACCCCATTACATACCATTCTCAACTAAAAACAGCCACCTAATTGATCTGGTCATCAGTTATGCCAACAAATTAATCTGTAAAGCACCTGATACAAAATTCCTTGGAATACATGTACGAGTAGACAGTACACTGTCTTGGAAAACACATATAGAACTATACCTAAATTAAGTGCAGCTTGCTATGCAATGAGATCGATTAAGCCCTTTATGCCACAGGAAACACTGAAGATGGTTTACCATGCCTACTTTCATTCTATTATGAACTATGGATTAATATTCTGGGGGAACTCTTCACATAGTGTAAAAATTTTTAAGATACAAAAGAATATAATTAGAATCATTACAGGACGTAGAAGTAGAGATTCTTGTAGAGATTTATTTAAGAAATTAAAAATTCTACCTCTTCAATCACAATCGCTTCTTTTATTTGTTGTGTACAACAAAAATAAATTTGAATTAAATTCCAGTATCTATAACATGAATACTAGACAAAAATATAACTTCCATCTACCTTCATCAAACTTATCACTATATCAAAAAGGAGTCTACTTTTCTGGCATAAAACTGTACAATAGTCTCCCACAAAGTATCAAAAACTTGAGTAATGACACTAAACATTTTAAATCAGAGCTAAAGAATTATCTGCATGCTCATTCCTTCTACTCTCTAGACGAATACCTCAATGTAAATAGAGAATAATGTAGAATTAAGCTATATTAGTTTAAGATAAAATTACTTGTACCAGTAGGTATTCTTTTGACTTGTTCTATATCCAAAGGTATTAACCTGCTTAGGGTTTATGAAATGCAAATAAATTCAATTCAATTCACTTTGTTACTATCACTCCTAAATATCAGAAAATTCAAATCAATTTGTTACTATCATTCCTAAATATCAGAACTATGTCACATGTTTTAAGTATCTGTTAGCTATCTTTATGTCGCAATTTTTCCCTGCATTTTCATGATGAGAGAGTAACCTATACTTGGTTTACTCTGCATTTACTTCTAGACTAACCTCCTTACCAGTGTCGATTAAAGTTTCTGTTTTTCCTTATGGTATCTATGTTACCTCCCAGTAAATTCACATAAACAGCATAGACCAGCGGCTGATATGTCCCATTTCATTTTGGTCCCACCTGATAATCCCAGACCTTCCTAATGTCATATTCTAAAGTAAGTTCAAAAGCAATGGCAGCAAAGCATATCCTTGTTTAAAACACTTGGGATAGGAAAATTATCAAACAAAAGTTTACCCATGTGGACTTCACTATACGTTTCATTTAAACACATTTTAATGATCTTAACTAGTTTCAAGGGTACCCAAACTCCATGACAATACTGTACAATTCTTCCCCCCTAACTGAAGTCTAGAAGTCTATGAAGAGCTCATGTACTCTCTCATTGTACTGCCATTTTTTCTCCGGTATCTAACAAATGCAAAAAATCTGATCAGTAGTTGATCTGTTATGTCAAAACTCACGCTGATGATCTCAATAATTTCATCTACATATGGACTTAACCTTAGGAGAAGGATATTGAATAAAATTTTGTACGAGATTGATAACAGAGACAGCCCATGATAATTACAGAAGTCGGCTTTATTACCTGAACTAACTCACTAAGTGCTAGAATATTGGAAGAAATCGCTTCATTTTAAGGAATCAATTTACATACTGAACCACTTCATTACCACCTTTAAACAACACTCTTCTCCGTGTCATCTTCGTTTTACTTCGGTAATAATCGCTAGTTAGAATGCACAGTCAACTCTCAATTATCTGCTTGAATATTATTCAGAATGCCAACTGAACATAACTCCATAAAGCATATAGCTCTCACATCTGAAATCACATACCTCTTGTATAATTCTGTCATATGATAACATAAAGGAAGCCAGAAAACCTGCTGGATTGTGTGCTTCACCTATAATCAATGATAATCAATGATAGCAATTTGGCAGAATTATCCAGTGAAACATGTCATCATGCAACAGCAGCTGATTACTAGGAACAGCCAGATTATCACGAACACCTGAAGAATCTACACAAACTTTGGTTAATGATGTCAGACTAACTTTGGAACAAGATATGAGATCTGTAGTAAATATCAAGATTACAGTCCACTTCTGCTCTCAATATGGAAGCAACAGATTCCTCCACAACACTGGATGCATACCTGACCAATTACATGCCATCGCATCCCAGGAGACCATAACATTAATTTTGAAAAACATAAAGGTGTATGACTAAACAACAAGGGTACTCGAAACATTGAGGCTAATTTGCAGAGAACAATTATCTGTTAACTAATAATGAAATAGTTAAGGAAGATTTACAAGGGTGAGTCCAAAAGCATCCACAATTAATTTTATTTATTAAATAGTACAGTTACAATGAGTACATATAATAACATTATTTTGCTACAGTACCCATCCTTTTCAACACACACTCAGTCCAGTGGTCCACATGCTTCTGCATGACCTCAGAAAACAAAATGTTTCAGTTCAGTAACAAGCCAAACATGAACAGCTTCCTTCACATCTTCGTCACGGACAAAATGGTGTCTCTCAAAGCAAACGGGTGACAGTCTGTGGGACCTCTCAGTTTCAATTGTGCAGGTGTGAGCATGCAAACAAGCACAATCATGTAACATTGCAACACCTTTCAACAACAGTCCTCAGCATTCAGTTCAGCTGGTCCCAAAGCACTTCACTGATACTGACACTCATTTACTGTTGTGCCGCTCTCTAGCAGAGTTTCAAAACTGGGCCCTGTACATCCCAAAGTAGTGTCAACATCACTTTTCCACCTGACAATTGAGTTCTGAACTTGTTTCTGACTGCCAACATCAGATGTTTACATTCCAAACTCTAGTGTTTGCTTTCTTGAACATAATGGTGGATCCACGTCACATCCCCAATGATAATGCATCTAAAAAAGCAACACTTCTGTTACAGTAGTGGTTCAATAAGCCATGGCAGATTGTGAAACTGTTGTGCTTCTATCTTCCTGTGAGTTGTTTTGGAAACCATCTTGCACAGACTTTATGAAATCCAAGTTGTTCTTGGATGATTCCATGAGCAGAACCATGGCTGACAGGCACTTCATCGACAATCACCCATCAATCATCCAGAATTATGGCAAGGACTCGTTCAATGTTTTGCTCTGAGTGGCCATTCACGGGTATCCTGACGGTTCTTCATCAGTGACACTGGTGTCACCATTTATGAATATGATTATATACTTGTACACACTTTGCTGTGGTAAAGCACTGTTTCCACATTGGGCTGGAAGTCTGTGATGGACTTATACCCTTCATACACTTTCAGCCCATAAAAATCACATCACTGCACACTGTTCTTTTCTGGTGCACGCAGCAAGCAGAGCAGTCATGTTGCCTCTGCTACAATGACACTACAACTGGCCGGTCAAGGTCAAAAGTATTTCAAAATCATGCATGGAGTTTGCGCTTCTACCTGAATGCAAAATAAGCAGTACAACCAACACAATAAACTTTAAAATAAATAACTGCAAAAACTTTCTGACTCACCTGTGTATCTTACACTCATTATGTGCTAATATAAAAATATTGTACGGTCTACATCTTTCAAGATTCATGCACAGAACAATTATAACCTGTCTTCATGTACACTGAAGACAAAATTACATTTTCTTACTGCCTCTGGAGTTGTCACCCACTGCCCATTCCAACATAAAATAAGCACTGAAAATGTTCCATGCAAGACACAAAAAAGTACACTACACATGCTCAAAATAGAAAAGGTACCAAATAACCAGACAGGTTCTTACAATCTGTCCAACAAGTTTTCCCTGCTGAAACACGTCAAAGGGATATAGTATCCTGTCATAATGATTTTTCAACAGTGTCCCCAAACCCTTTCCAGGAGGGAAGCCCATTCTTGCAGCAACTTTTGTCCACTTCCTTTCCCTTGTAGCAATTTCTACACCACCTGCACAGTGAAATAAGAATGAAGTGAAAATTAGGATTATAACTTGTTCCTTGACTTACAGGTCTAAGTTGCTTGGGATACCACAGTTCATAGAGACAAAACTGAACAGATACTTTTATGAAAATCCTGAAGCCAACAACCAAGGGTGATAATTCCCAAGGCCATAACAGTGATTATTAAAACACATTAGAATTTAGAACATCTGAGTGAAACAGAAGTCCCATAATGTGGGAAGCAAAATTAGCAAAATATTCAGTCCTGGAATGACCAGCGGTGTTATTAATTCATAAGAAATGCTGGTAACTTTCGTTTCGGTCTTCCTACATAATAAATGATTCCCAGCCAACAACATTCACTCTCTCATAATTCACTTTCATTGAAGATCCTAACACACAAAATCCAAGTTTTCCAGTGCAGTTTTAACCTGGAGTCAGTGTAATATTTTTATAATTCCCTTTGCTATGCTACATTAGAGTCAATCAAAATGGACTTCGCTTTGTTCTGCAAGAAATCATCTGCAACTTGTTCACTTTTTTATTTACTCTTAGTTTAACAACGTGGTCAGTAACTCAGTAACAGAGTGAATGGTACGATAATTAGTTAATGAACTGGGAAGGGATCAAAAGGCTAATTTGGACTAATTTAAGGTCTTATAGAAGTACTTAACCAATGAGGAGCTTCATAACTTGTACTCTTCTCCAAGTATAATTGGAATGATCAAGTCAAGGAGGATGAGGTGGGAAGGGCATGTAGCACGAATGGGGGAGAAGAGGAATGCTTATAGGATACTGGTGGGAAAGCCAGAAGGAAAGAGACCACTGGGAAGACCAAGGCATAGGTGGCTGGACAATATTAAAATGGATGTGAGAGAGACAGGATGGGATATGGATTGGATTGATCTGGCTCAGGATAGGGACAGGTGGAGGGCTCTTGTGAACATGGTAATGAACCTTTGGGTTACATAAAATGCTGGGAAATTCTTGAATAGCTGCAGATTTGGCTTCTCCTCAAGAAGGGCTCAGCTCCATAAGTAAGTAAAACCTCAGTCAGGTTCACCAGTGTCCCAGCCAACATTTCACTTGGTCACCTCCAAAATATGTGGAGCAATCCAAAAGTTCCCAAAATATATTATTAAAAACTATTACATCTTACCTAGGTCTTATTCTGCACCATCACCTTCAAAGTAGTCCCCTTGGGAGCACATACACCGATCCCAGCGTTTCCACCACTTTTCAAATGCATCCTGGAAGTCTTTCTTTGTTAGGGTGTTTAGTACCGTCTGCGTTTCTGCTTAAATTTCCTCAACTGTATCAAATCTTCGCCCCTTCAACTTGATTTTCATCTTGGGGAAGAGAAAGAAGTTGCATGGAGCTGAGTCTGGCAAGTACGGTGGGTGGGGAACAACTGCCATCTTGTTTTTAGCCAAAAATTCCTGCACAATGTAAGCCATATGCGGTCATGCGTTATCATGGTGGAGTACCCAGTCGTTTGTGCGCCACTTCTCTGGATGTTTTCTCCTCATGTCCTCCCTCAAATGCCTTAGAACATCACGAGAGAACTCTTTATTGACTGTCTGACCAGGAGGGACGAACTCCTTATGAACAATCCCTTCAATATCAAAAAAACAGATCAACATGGACTTAATGTTGCTCTTGACTTGTCGAGCTTTTTTGGCCGAGGTGAAGAAGGGCTCTTCCATTGCGATGATTGCTGCTTGCTTTCCGGGTCATAGCCATAAACCCAACTTTCGTCACCAGTGACAACCTTTGAAAGAAAGTTTGGATCCTCTTGACGCTGTTGCTAAAGTTTCCTGCAGACTTCCAAGCGATGCTGTTTCTGTTCATTTTGCAGCAGTCATGGCACAAACTTCGCCGCAATCCTCCTCATGTTCAGTTCCTCTGACAAAATTCGTTGACATGTACCATAACTTTGTCCCAAGGTGTTACAGAGGTCTTGGATGTTCAGTCTACGATCTTCCAGAATCAGATCCCTAACTTTCGTGACATTTTCTGGTGTTTTGCCTGTTGACAGCCATCCCGAATGATCGTCATCATCAGTCAATGTTCGGCCATTTTTAAAATGCTTATACCAGTTGTAAGTTTGTGTCTGGCCTAAACTGTTTTCACCAAAGCTTGCTTCAACATTTGGTGCGTTTCTGCAGCGGTTTTCCCAAGTTTGAAACAGAACTTTATACAGACACGCTGCTCCCTCAGGTCAGCCATTGCAAAACCGCAAACTCACGGAAACACAACAATGGAAATATGTTCACCAACAATAAACCCAACCACTCAACTCAACGCTGCTTGCCACACTGATTCAAGAAGGATGTGTGAGGAGACATCTAGCGGTATTTCGATGTACTCATAACCATTCACGCGCAAAATTCAAATTTTGGTAACTTTTGGATTGCCCCACATATAAGTCAGACATTTTACTGCTTGATCCAACTTGCTTGGTGCAACATCTTAAGTTAATACACTTATTCTTAGTGTTTTTATTACCTTCCTCTACTTCCTTCTGTCTTCACTGACAAACCTGACCAACATTCAGTATTAAACCATTGTCTGTTATTCAGAAGTGCTATCCTGGCTGGAATTATCAAACATATAAATAATCAAAGATTATCTTGATGCTTCAGTTACAGAAGTACCCAAATTCATTATGCTTCAGTACGTAGGCACATTAATGGGGTAAATCAATATGTACACATCCTGTTTCTTTAGTCACCAATCTCCATTAACATTCACAACTTCAGTCTCCATAAGCACTGAGCTGGAAGAGCTCAGCTGCTGTAGCAACCAGGCTACAAGCTGCATGACCAACTGGAGTTTAATTTCTGGTGGGGAGCATCCAGACTAGCCATGGGGCCAAAAAAACTTCCAACCCGGTGAGTACCAGGAGATCTTTCCCCAAGACATGAGGCTGAGCACTCACCTTCACCTAATGCCAAAGTTACAAATGTGTGGATCAATACTACATAGTCTATACACTGAAAGTGTCATAAAATAAACCACAAAAAGAAATGTCTGGAGCCACACCTCCACTCCCCCATACAACTTCATGATGTGGTGTCCAATTAAGCCTTTTAACTATTATCATCAGCCCAGAGCAATACAAAACTGTACACAGATGACTGGTTGCCATCTTGTGAGAGAAAATAGTTTTGTCCTTTCACTGATAATTTCACATCCAGCAACTCCACTAATGGCATACCTGCCACACCAGCCACATTACGCAGTACACGAGTGGTCCAAGGTACTTCACAGTAAAGGAATGAGTAGCAAGTGATCAGCATACATCTATGGATTCCAAGGAATAGCAACAAAGGAAAAAACTAATTGTTCAAGTGCACACTGAAGGAGAGAGATTTTGTTTTGTCACAGAGCTTTACTGCCTGACAGTAGTCATCAGACATGAGGATCTGGACAAAGCAAGGACAGGGTAAAGATCAGGTGCATGTGAAAATAAACAAACAGAATCTGAATAAGCAGCCATCTGGAGGATCACATTCTGTCACACTGAATACATACCTTCTTCTTGGATGAACCTGTGCAAAGTATAAAGATCTAAGGCTTTCCTTTCCACCATTGGGATTTTCAGTGAGGATCCCTGTAGTTCCCAAAATTTTGCTATTTGATCTAAAAAATTTAGTTTTATCCGTGTTTTTGCCTGTAAAAGAAAAAAGTATTCAAACCATAAGAATTTAAAAGTAAAATACTTCTAGCTCATTAACAAATAGCATATTAAACAAAAAAAGGAAGGAAAGGTAAACCTTTACTAATGTGTGACAAAATTTAAAGATCAGAAAGGAAGTTCAAAAATTCTTTGTACTCTAACATATAATTTCTAATATTAAATGTCATGGCTATCATGTCTCTATACTTAATTCAATCATAAAATATCATCTACATTTTACTAAGTAGTACTCTCATTAAATTCATCCCACATACCTCTCACCTCGTGTGTGTGTGTGTGTGTGTGTGCATGCGCAAACACACACACGTGCTCATATATCCCCCCTCTCTCTCCCCCTCTTCCCCTCCCTCTCCCCCTCTCTAATACACAGGAGCGCATGGTGTGTGCGTGTGTGTGTGTGCGCATTAACAGTTAACTGTATAGTGTAGTCACATGCTGTATCAAAGAGTCCAATAAATCCAATTACCTATATAAACCCCATCTATAGGCACTAAAACTTAACAATACTATAACAGAAAACATAATTTGTGTAAATGAACATACAGACCTGATGATAGCCCTGTGTGGCCAAAACATGTCACTGAAGTTATGAAAGCATGGATTAGGTGATGGGTCAACCAATAATTCTGTGAAGCTGCATTGAAGACTGTATCATGTGCATACATATGAGAGCAAAGAAAATTCTAGATATATGGACAGAGTTCATTTTATTGAGAAACTTTCAGTCTCTTATATGTACAGGAACACTGCATTCTTTCCAAAGGCATCAGTGAATTTATAAACAGAAATGGAAAGGTGTTCATAATAATGTGGTCAATGCTCTGAAAATAATTTTGACAGCTCCAGTTACTGTTTCTTTCTGTGAAACAAACTATATATGCTGAAACACAACTTCATCACACCTGTGCAGGAAGATACAAACATTAGCAACTGAATCCAAAGCAGCATTAGGCTTAGAAACAGTGCCACATAAGTTTGCTTGCAAAACTTCAGGGTCCCAAGCTATTGCAGACACCAAGGTTTTTCTTATTTTTCTGTTGTATGACATCAAACAAGCTTATGTCACAGAAGTGTAAGGCATGTGCGTGCGTGCATGCGTGTGTGTCCGCATATTTATTTCAAGTGACAACCTGGTAATATTGTAACATGACGGATGAAAGCTGGAATGGTGGAGCCGGAGCGGACGTTCATTTCCTGATGCTTTATTAAACACATTCTTGAGGTAACACAGTCAACAGTAGGACTTCAGTTGCTTAGAAGCAGGCTGCTACTTTTCATAGCAATGGACAAAACAAATAACAACAGAATGGGCGAATCATTTGGGATGGTGATCTACATTTGGTCCACATGGAAGTTTGTTCAGTCCAGAAGATTGAGTCACTAGAGATTCATGAGGGATTCGTTAGACAGATGTCATTCAGGGAGTTCAATGTGTGAGCAGTGATTCGTCATTTGTCATTGGAAAAGAAGACACATGTGGTCCAGTAAGGAATGGAGTAAGCCATACAGTCATTGATTGAGAGCTGTCATAATTGACTGTAACTGTAAAGAAGTACCAATAAATCCAATCACCGAATCCAGAACCCATTACTATTTGTCATGCAAACCCCATACACAATACTTCGGTGTCAGAAGTGGTTATGACCATAAATTCATGACATTTTGGTGTCAGAATTGGTTGGATTTGTTTAATTTGACATAACTGTTGGATTTAAGATTGCATCAAGCAGTTATATCACCATGGAAATGGAAATGGACAACATGGAACTCTTGAACGCCATTAAAGAAATGATGGACTTCTGTCACAAGGAGATGATGGCCAAACATTTGCCCATCATGAATGTATAATGACCTGTCTAGGAAAGGAGTCCTATCCAGAAGAAATGTAATCTGAGTTGGAGGATTGGAGGGAGGAGGCCACAGTGAAACCTGTCAGAGGACTGTGTTGGGCTGGAGATTGGAAAATGAGCACTCAGGATTTCCAGCGGGTTACACACAATCAAGGACTGTACCTTGTGGAGGGGTCACCCCCTCTGAAATGGAAGAAGAACCTCCTAGAAATGTTAGTGAAAGATGAGCCGGAAATGTGGGAGCACCGGCCACTCAGGATAGTTTTATCCCACCACTGGAAAAGAAAAAGTCTGGATGATGGTGATGCACCTAGATTGATTGGAACATCATCGGGGAACAGCTCAGGATGAGCAGCCGTAAGGAAGAAGCAGTGGGACAGGCTGGAGAGTAGTCACCGCAGAGAAAAAACAAGCCACAAGAAGACGTCACTAGCAGAAACCTCGGAAAAGGAATGGTGATACACCAATAGGCTATTTAGGATGAACAGCCTCATGGAGGGAGCAATGTGACATGATGGCTGAAAGCCAGAATGGTGGAACTGGAGATCTCCATTGCCAGACAGCACTTTGGTAAACACATTCTTGTGGTAACACAGTCAAGAGCAGAACCTCTGTTGCTTAGTAGCAGGCTGCTATGTTTTGTAGCAATGAACAGAACAAACAATAACAGAATGAGTGAAGTGTTTGAGATGGTGATCTATATTTGGTCCGCATGGAAGTTTGTTCAGTCCAGGAGATTTGAGCTGCAAGAGATTTGTGAGAGATTTATCAGACAGACATCATAAACAGAGTTCGATGTGTAAGCAGTGATTTGTCGTTTGTCATTTGTCACAGTGGCATAGAAGATGCTCGTGGTCCAGTAAGGAATTGTGCAAACCACAGTTATTGATTGTGAGTTATCATTGACTGCAATTGTAAAGAAGTGCCAATAAATCCAATAACTGAATCCAGAACCCGTTCTTATTCATCACGCAAACATTAATTAGGAATCCCATGCTGATGTTCGTACTGCTGCTGCATCTTGCTTTGCAATGTGTGTATGTGTGCACTGTTGCCCTTCAGGCCCTGCAGATGAAGGCAGTATGTGCCTCCAAAATGCCAGCAACACTGCCCACATCTACATGGTGCAAATGTCCCAAGACCAGAAACAACATCAATAATGAACCATCATGAAATCCTGAAATCAGTAGCAGAAGCCTTGTGTTAATGTTGAACTATACAGAGTTAGCAAATAATTCCAAGGACAATGTTAGAACAGTGTAAAATAATACAATTTTAGTGCTGGTACTAAACAAATGGCATATATTGAAAGGAGTCAAAGAAGAGTCAAACTGAGTTTAAAATCAATTTCAAAGTGGTTCGGTGTCTAATAAATCTTTGTCACTACACTCATCTAAGAACCCTGAAAAAAGATGTGAGAAATGTAATTTGTCCGGCCCAGTGAGAGAAACGATACATTTTCAAGGCTCACATGCATCCCTCCTGAAGTAACTAAAAAGATGAAGAATGCAGTCTGCTTTATCGTGTCTCACGGTGTTGTCGCTTGCAGATTTACTTATACTTTTTCTTCAACCCTGAAGATGGGGGCGATACGTTCCTCCGAAACGTCTGTTAACACCACATATACACGGTGCCAAATCCCAGAAGACTGCATTCTTCATAGTCACCGCCGTGAAAGCCTCAAATCTTACATAACTAAAAAGATGTCTGTCTATACCACCAATGAGTGGGTGACAGAAGCCACAAATGAGCCTAGCAGGGCCAGAATCCCCTCCTGATCCACCAGGGCACTGTATATTTACAGAAATGCATAATATGTTTAGCCATAGGTCACAGATTCTTTGTTTAGAATGTTGTGTGAACACAAAATGGGCCTAAGGTCACTACCCAAGAAAGCAAAGCTCTAACAGACACCAATCTTATGACCAGCAACTTTGATAACTAAAATGTAAAGTTAAATTTTTTAACCCTCATATGTTCAGCACACCAATCCATCAGCGTGTCACATAATGGCCAGAACACTCAGGCAGCTAATCTGTCGGCTCCACCTAATCCACGCTCTTCTAGTTATATAAATGGCTCAAAGGTACCAGCACAAGACAGTACCTAATTCTCCAAGCTCATTTCACAGTTTTGCCCCCAGATGGCATTCCTTTGCTCACAAATACAAGGTGTGGCAATAAAGAAACCGGATTCATGCTCTAACCCTTTATTAAAAAAAAATCAGACAGTCGAAATGTTATCCCCTTCAATGTAGTCCCCTCCCCGATCCCTACACCGCTCCATGCGAATTTTCCACTGTTGGAAGCAGTGCTGCAGGTCATCTTGTGTTATGCTCTTCAAGAGTTGCGTCGCTTTTGCTTT